ACAGAAAAAAAAAAAACAATTTGAAGGACCAAATGACTGATGCAAACACAAACCATACGTCTCTTCTGAATACGTGTAACAGATCTTTGCAAGACAATTTAAGGAAACACTGTCAATCTGAAATTCAGTCTGACTAAAAAGAGCTATTTTTAGAGTTAAAATACTTATCTGCTATTTTATCTTTTTAATAGATAACTTTCCTGGTTAAATAAAGGCACAGCATAGAACTCGGGGCTAACAGAACAAACTGCAAAAGTCAACATCAGTTGGGAGAATTGAAAAAAAAAGAAAAAAAATATCTCTTCCATTCTTTATCTTCAGTTGTAGCGATCTGAGCTGTTACTTATAATAGGAAATAAAAATGATCAAATGGGATCCTATTTTTAACATAAAGACGTCTGCTTACAGACTCGCAACTGGACAAGATTAGTCAGTCACACTTTTAGAGCATAAATTCATGGAAAAGATAACATTCTCAAATATGAAATCAGAATTATTGCATAGATAAAACACAGCACAGACTACACTTATGTAACTCTCACTGAAACATTAACAACTATTGTAATAAACAGTAGCAACATCTTGAACTGAAAGCTTATCAAGCACTGAATACAGCATCCTGCAATCGTCTAGACTTATTTATTCTTACCATTTTTTTTTCCCCTCCCATTTTTAATGGAGTTTAAAACTAGTAAATCTTTGCTAGTGGCTGTTCACAGCCTTACCATCTAAGTATAGAGCAGTTCTACTTGTTTCTGTATAAGCTCAGAACTCCTTAGTGAAGACAGTCACAAAACGAGCAACTTGGGAACTATTCAGATTTAGAAAGCTCAAATCATTTACCTTTCTGGGTTCTTTATCTCTTCCGTTACAAAATTGAGCGTATCCCAACCAGAGTAAGAGAACAAGGCAGAATAGAGTGCGAGGGAAATGTCGCCGATATCAAAAGAGGATCCCTCAAAAGAGTTCTCAAAGTGTGATGAATGTCCTGAGTGTGGAAGATATGCAATGATGTACAGGATAATAAAATACAGCAAGTAATTTTTTTTCAATTTAGCACACAAATACAAAAAAACTCAGAAACCCTAGTTCCTTCAAAGCTGCTTATTAAGCCCTTCTACCAATTCTAGTCTGTGCTTCAGCCATGAGAATAAGCATGACATTTAAACCAGTGAAAATTATGCTCTATGGATGATACTGTTCTATACGTAAACACCTAGTTTGCCCACAATGGCACAAAAAGTTCAGAAATGTTAAGTTCAGACTAAGCTACAAACAACTGGTAATGACGGTACTCAGGCTAAGGGTATTTTTTAATAACATATATATATTTATAAAATAATCCCATCTATCTTTCTATATCCTTTTAAATTTTCAATCACATAGCCTATGCAGAAAACAAAGATTACTGTTAATTTTAGATAACTATGACCAAAAAACCCCGCAACTAAATGGATGTTTAAGTTTTAGCTATTAAAATAGAAAACTGAGAACAATTAACAGAACATAAAATATTGTTACTCGAGATAAAATTTTCCCAAGTTAAGAGAAAAAGTGTATAGTTTTTTTGCACCGGTATTTGTGAGAGCTTGTGCCATCTTTTGACTTTAAACAAGTCAAGACAAGCTCATCAATGGCAGTTTTATATATTCAGACTATTTAACATATGCAGACACACACACAAAAACACCAAATACAGAGAGGTGAGTAACTGTGTAACTCCAAAACGTGCCCTGTGCTATGCATCCTGAAATGTTTAGATTTCATCAAAACTGACCAGGCAAATATTTGAGACCTCTAAAATATCTTCACTTCTTTCTCCTTTTTATCCTAAACAGACATTGCTATTCCCTTGGCTCAGACACAGGCAGAGTAACTGCTGAGTTAGAAACACAGAAAAGAGACCATGTCAAGGAAGTTAGTAGTGAACAAGCTCAGTATCTACAAAACAAGGGATGGGCAGATGTGCTAAGGATTAAACACTCCAGCACTTGCATATGCATATTCTTGTTCCGTTCACAATAATTACCTTGCTCGTTGACTTTCAACAATAACTGGTTAGAACAAAGGACACAAATTGCCAGACTGCCAAGGAAAGACCTTTATGGCAGCTTTGAAAGCAGGGTAATTTTTTCTAAGGTAACACACCAATAAATTCTCCCCAAAGAAAGGGATAAGAACAAAACTAAATTCAGAATTCCTCTAACTTGAAGACATAATGCCCAACACACACACAAATTTAGAAAAAAAAAAAAATAAATCCAAAACCCCAGCAACTTTCTAATTCTCAACAGCTATAATAGAACTCACGATTTGAGCAAAAGAGCTGCTGTTTCACAAATCTACTTACGTATTCTTCTAAATCTATTTTTACTTTAAGTTCAGTCACTTTCAGACTTGCACAAATTTCATTGGTAAAAAAAAATATTCAGTTGATCTCACTGTAAAGTAGTATGTTCCTTACAGAAAATTTACAGCTTTCTCTGCTCCCATCGTACTTTGCTAGCTCTGTATTTTGCTGTTTTCATTTCCTTTATTACTCCATACTGCAGGCTGTAAATTGAACAACGTTGCTGAGCAATCAGTTACTTCTTTTACCCAGTTCAAAGTCAACTGAGATAGGACAGCTTCTCATGATACAATATCATGATAATACCTAACATTGGTATTATTGGTGTTTTCAAAGTGGCTATATTATGCTTGTACTGAAGGATTTGATAACATATACAGAGGTATTTCACAGTCTTTAGACCAGTTACTCAGTTTAACTGATAAATACAAACCTTTGCTTTAATTTTATACGCTTACCCTGGCATATTTTAACAAGTCCAGTTATGATGATGACAATAAGAGCAGTGACTTTTGCATAAGTAAATATATCCTGCACCCGTGTTCCCCATTTAACGTAGGCACAATTTATAAATGTGAGAAGACCTGGGGGGGGAGGGGGGGGGGAGAAAAAAAGAAAAATTAAAAGACTATTTGAACAATATTCAGTTTAATTCATTTTTCAAAGATTTTAAATTGTAATCTAAATATGCACTTACCTGTTATACTAATACTTAGGTTAAACTAAGCAGAATACACCAGTACTGAAGACACACTGGTTTAAACAAAACAGGAGGAAACAGATGTTCTAAACACACAGTTTCAAAAGATGGAAGATCTTCTCCTTCTCTGATTACATGCCCATTTTCCTAACATTACCCCTCATCAGCTGCACTCTGCAACTATCCTGAAGCTAAAGAAACCATTACATAATTAATTTCAATGTATCAACATTGTTCTGATAAATTAAAGATTATCTAGAAATTCCTTTAGGCAAACATATTAAAATAGCGTGTGAAAAGTTTTTTCCCCTTCCTTGTTAGTCTGAGGATGAGTTCAACATCCATGGAGTATTTGCAATACTGAATATGGTCACAGGTGACTCAATACTCTTTTCCAGTTGTATTAAACTATTATTAAGTAGAGGTTAGAACAGATCTGACCAAATAACATATGCTTTACAGCTAATTCAACATTAATCTGCATTTTTAAGAACTGGTAGTAAATAAGGAGTATTCTGAATATATTCCTCCCTCTATCCCAAAATAAATCAGTGTCAGACTTATTTCACAAGATTGTAATGGAACTTGGAAGTGAGACTTTCAGATTTCACAAATATTTTGGTAACAGTGTCTGACTAAACTTACTCATATGATCAACTTCCCCAATAAACACTTTTCAAGCTATTGTTGAAATACATTGTTCTCATGGCTCTCAACATTTTGCTTTTGCATTTATTACTTTTTCCTCAAGCGGAGAGCCAGACAACTTCTGCCTGAACTCAAATGCTGAATATTGAATAGGATTCAGTATCTTCAGTATTCTTTATTGAACAAAATACTAATTCAATGCATATTTTTCCTATCTAGATTACCATTACATTACTGATTCCAACCCGCAAGTTTAAATATTTTCCCCAAATCTCACTTTTCTCTAGCTAGTAAAAATGTGATTATATTCTACTGTACTTTTTATGTCCAAACAATTTTCTTGTACTATGTATTTCAAGCATGCATATAAATAAAAACTAAACTTGACTGTTTAAGGAGTAAGGTAGTAGAAAATCAAAATTAAATTAAAAGATGTGGTAAATTATTTCCTTTCCCATAATCCAAGAATAATGTGATACTATTAAGATAAGAATGTACTTAGCACAGTTACCAAATAGAAAAGTAATAATTTTAAAAAGATAACAAAAGAAAGGAAATTATCTCAAAAGCATGACACTAGTATACTAGACAGTCTGGCCAAGTGGAATAGCTGAACAAGATTCCACTGAGTTTGGCAAGCTGAGGGGAAAAAAAAAAAAACCAGTTGTATCAAATTTCAAAAGTCAGGACTGCTGCAGCTCCCAAAGAGCCCTCAGGAAAAAACAAGTCTCTGCTCTTCAGTATTAATGATCAGTATTATCTATGGAGTATTTGCTCACAGGGTTTATTTCAGCCATTAATTTCATTTTTTTTTAAGCAACTTTCACGGGGAGTAATTATTATTAACTCCTTATTTTAGTGAGTCAGGGCTTGGTCTGTACTTCAGATGAAATGCTACTCTGCCTCTGATATCTTAAAAGAAAAAAAAAATATAATCAAGAACCTGAATAAGCCACATCCCCTCCCTCTTTCTTTTACTAAAATTATTCTTTCATGTTTTCTTCAACTTAATTATCATTTAGCTACTTCAAGTTCCTGAGAACTGTCAAATTCAGTTCTGTAGCACAAGATGCCACCCCATTGCCAAAATGATTGACAAAGTAATACTGTGTAACACTAAGACTGATCTCACACTAGATCTAGTATTGTTATTACTGAAGTTTAAAAAAAAAATAAAAAGAAACCCCACAACAAACCCACCCATTCTCACATACAATCTGTACCCAACCAATGTTCAGACTTCCACTCCCAGCAACTTCATTAACAATGTATTAATCGTATCCAGAGCTAAGGATCTGACACACATCATCAGCCCTGACAGGCCAGGGAGAAGTGTAGGCTTTGACAGCAACAGCTAAATGAAGTTGTAGAGCAGGGAGGAGAGTCTCCGCGCTGACACCTAGAGCAGGGTAGAACAAGCATTTAAACCATAAAATGGATTGCTGAAGTTGCTCCACCTACATGAGAGTGATCTTGCTCTCATATGTCTCCACTAAAGAAAAAGGTGCTAAATCCCCTCTCTTAGCAGCAAGTGTAGAGGACATGACATTGTCTTTCTACATCTACTATATAATCACTTTAATTGAATCACTTTGTCTTAATTTCTTGCTTTTTGATAAACTGCTTCTCATAAGGGGTAACTCCCCTCACATGCCAGATACTTTAAACAGAAGAGCAGATTCCCCCACACTCCTGAATCTGTGCCAGGAGACCTTGGGACAGTATCTGTTTAAAGAATGTGAACATGACATTACAAGTTCTTCATTTCTTTCCTGAAGTTGTCACAACAAATGTGGACGCACATTTGGAAGGGAGGAGGGAGATGGAGGGAACAGAACTAAGCTGAAAGATTTTTTGGAAGAAGTTTGTGATTATTCTTCCCCCTATTCGGCCCTGGACCAGCACGTTAGTGCTTTCCCAACAGTAACAAATTAACTTACAAAAATGGAAGAGGAAGCTATTATGTTCACAACTAGTTATAGAGATCAAATATTTAAAGCACACACTACTGCTCCCTCTGTCTTTCCCCTCTTCTAGTCCTACATAGACAACGGTAATAAGGAACATTAGAGCTATTTCAACAGACTCCCTGTTGCCTCAAAAAGGAACCAGCTAGGAGCAGCACAGCTCCTCCATGTAGCTTATTGTTGGCTATAAAAAGCCCAAGTTCTGTATTAGCATTATGATAAAAGCATCAGGTCAATAGGCATGGCAGACTCCACAGCACATGATGATGACGTTAAGTACATGACAAAGGATTGCCATCCAGAGTTTCTGAAATATATTTTTCACTGTTTACTGGAAAGGTAAATATGCATATGAACACTTTTAATAGGAAATACCTAAAATTAAGACACATACAGTACAATCATACAGTTTCATTCTCTTGATCAGCAGAACAGTCCTGATTTGAAGCACGTGGACAGTTGTTCATATTGACTGAGCTAGCTATCTGATTACAAATATTTCAATGTTTTATGTGCACACAAAATTTCTGCTTTTCAAAAAAAGCTTTACAATAGGTACAACTTTTTGATGTTACTGTTAATCACGAGCATAAAGAATAATCTTGAATGAATGATCTTTTGAAACCCTACGAGAGTAATTACTTAAGCATGTCTACATTGAGAAACTACTATAAAATAAATTACAGCAGAATTCATAGCATAAGAGCTATTCTGCAACAACTTGAGGTTGAGTATCTTGAGGTTTGATTTAATATACGTCTCTGAGGGAAACAAACTTTTTCCTCCATTTTCCCATGTAAGTAAACTTGGAAGAGTTAAATACTTCGTTCTGCTTCTGAATGAGAAAACGGTAATCCACTGACTGAATACCTGCAAGTTATTCACGTGCTGGAAATTGTTCCTTTTGTCACTGTAACTCAAACCGTTGCAGATTCAGTATGCAACAACTTTGGGACTTGATAGGATTTGTTTTAATAAAAGCTTAACCCTGGATAAAAAATTACCGTAGTAAATGTCAAGAAATACTTACATTCACAAGCAGCTGCTATGAGACGGCAAGCCAAATATGGAGGATCACAAGAAGGGAAGAAAGGTTGAACTATGTAGTTAGCAAAGGTGATGGCAATAATTGCCTGGCTAGTTGGCTCAACAATTAGGAGTGAGGTCCACAAACGAATAAAAGCGATGAAGCTCCCAAAAGACTCCAAGATATATGCGTAGCTGGCTCCTGACTTCGTAATAGTGGTTCCAAGTTCAGCATAGCAGAGAGCTCCAAAGACTGAAAAAATCCCTCCAATTGCCCAAATTATTAGAGACAATCCATAAGATTTGCTGTAGATGAGAACTCCTTTGGGAGAGACAAAGATACCTGAACCAATCATGTTGCCTACTATAAGGCTTATCCCATTTATCAAAGATATTTCTTTCTTCAGTTGCATTGTATTTTGGTTTCCATCCTGCATTTCACAGCTGTCACTTGGATCTGTCCTGTCTGATTTATTGACGGGGCTGTATTCAGCCACTGAGCTATGCAACTTCGTACAATCTGTCCTTTCTCCCATTGTGGAGAGACCGTGAATCCTCCACGACTCCAAACTGCAATCTAAAACAAAACATAGGCAGCTGAGATCATTATAAAACTTTTTATCCCAGGACTTTCTTGCCTAATGTTCTTTCCACCTTTTTACCCTACGATTTACAAATGTAAATTGATCAATTCCCTTTTGTTACTTCCTATGTGTTCTTACACAAAGGTAAATCCATGCATAGTTAAAATAAACAGAGAAACCAACACACACAGAGCAAGAGACGAATTCCAATATAACTTAAGCTGAGAAAGGAACTTCTGCCTTTAGGAGAAAAAAAAAAAAAACCAACCAACCAAAACCATTGGAAGGACAGAACTGAGGGATTCCAATGTTGAAAAGGAAGAAAGAACAGATAGAACCAAAGTGAGGTGATACAGAAAAGCAAGCGCTCTAAGACCAAGCTGGAAGTTCTAAGCATGAACATAGATTTATTGCAGTATGAAAAAAATTAATCAAATTATTGTACTTACACATGTAATTTATAAGTGATCCAGTAAGAAGGTTGCACATTTTATTAATGCAGTGTGGGCTCTTGCCAAGGGCAATATGAAGAGGTACTCACTTCAGAATCCCCTTGATCCAACTCCTGACTTTCAACTGATACTACAGTTCACTCCCTCCCCCCTCCATGAAACTGTTCCCAGTTCCCACTGCCTCATTTCTCGGAGTTATCTAAGAGTACAGGCTGTACATGAAAAAACCCACAGTAGTTTCAATCCAAATTCTTCCACTAGCAACTGTATTTAACAGTACCTAAAAACACAGAAATTAAATAAACATTTTCCTCTGCTTCAGAATTGACCATTTGGAAAAGAACCACTTACTTCTCAAGTCTCCAGGAAATTCTTCCATGCCTTCCAAAAGCAAGTTACTGCTAATAACATTTATTAGCATGAGAATATACTGGTAATTAGCAGTAATTCTGCATAAGGCCTGTTTTATAGAAGTTCAAGTAAGAAATAATCTATTCAAGGAACAGTCTTGTATGGAAACTGGCTTAAATCGCAGAGGTACTTTTGATTAGTGGGTTATCAACTGCATAAAGAATAGGCTCTACATAATAACCAGAATGCACTACCATTCATTTGTCCTGCCCCTCATTAAACCCTCAGTGTATACTTCAGCCATTTACTATAGAACAGAAAAATTAAAAAGTCTGGGTCAATAATTAAATAAATAAATAAATAAATAAATAATAAAGCAGCTGATCTAGCAGGGGGAAAAAAAAACAGGTTTTGCGCTTTTTTGGGATAACACTAATTTTACAAATGGTTTTGTTATTCCATCAATAAACTTGTCAACTAAGAGAACAAAAACCCTGAGTATGGTGATTTTGAAAGTACGCAATCACCCGAACTACATATGTATCTATGCATCTAGTAATGTACAAACATACAAGGTTTTGCTCATGCAGTTAGAGGCACACCCTTCTGGAGGAAAACTTAATAATAGTACTCTTCCTTTATTATAAAGCCAACAACTGTGTACTATAGTACAGAAAATCTGACTTGACATCCCTGAACTACAATAGTTCTAAAGATGTGAAAATAATAAAGATTATTTTCAATCAATAAAAAAGTAACTTCTACTGAAACAGAGTACAAATCATTTACTGGAACACATTACATCATTCATCTCCAACTCATGAATCTTCTAGCTTTTTCCACATTAAAATAGAGACTGTGTTCTTTTAAGTATGCAAAATGAGATCCTCAATCTGTTTAATCAGATGCCTTCTGATTTATTTTCCCCTCAATATTTCAAAGAAACACTTTAGAGATGGTTAATTACTAACTACATTTGTATTTAATAAAAAAATTAAAAATAAAACTGAGTAGTATGTTAAGAATTGACTCATGGATGTAGAACGTTTTGGTGACAACTACACAGCTTTACAATTTCTTACTCCACATACCCTAATCATCATTCCCATTTCTTCCTGGAACACCTTTCAGAGTATGACTTGTTCAGAAGCACAAGCATGACTTTGAATACTCAGTCATTTTGATGATTTGATTTGATTCAAATTAATTGAATCATTCAAATCAAATCAAATCTGATTTGTTCGCACACTGGCCGTTTTGGACTAAGTCACTGTAATTCACCTCATGGTCTGAAGTTCAGAGGTGCATTTAATTACCTGTAACTACAGACCCTGTCACTGTTCAAATGTCTCCATCTCAATTAGCAGCACGTGGCTGCAGTTCTATACAATATTGTTACCGATGACCTTGACTGTTTCTTGCCCTACTCCACCCTACCGAGGAAAGAACCATCGTAATATCCTCTCAATCTAGCTTTTTTTTCCTCCCAATACTCTTTCTTCCTCTCCGAGTCTGCTTTTGTTATTCCCAACTTCAGGTATCTGCTGACAACTAGGATTTGCATGAAGGTGTGTGCAACAGCTCACTCAAGATTTGGCACTTCATTCTCTTCTCTAACCTTGTTTGTTTTATACCCTTAAAGACTTCAAGGCAGGTACTGCTTATTTGCCGAGCCGCATGTTTTATTACACCACCTCCATGGCAGAAACAAAACTATTGGCAGGTTTATTCCTACAAGCACTTCACTTAATCTTTACTGGAACTAAACTCAGCAGCTTTGACCAACTGGAAAAAAAAAAAAAAAACAACCTACATAGGAAGAGGGAGAGCAGAGACTAGAGAAAACTGAAGCTATGTCAAGATTAGCAATATTGATAAAAAACCCACATATATTAAAACCCATTATTCTGTCACAAGACCATTATTTCTGTGGAAACAGAAGACAGGCTTGGAAGAGAAGAACCAGAGAGGTATAGTATATATTTTCTAAAATAGAACAATCATATAATACTGCAGCTCAAAACACTGTTAGGACGATCTCTAACGCTGCCAGCCTTGCCACAGGACTCCTAAGGCTAATGCAGGCTTATGCCTTCACGCAAACTAACACATGGATTTCCTCATCATTCACCCTTGTGCAACACGAAGTCTGAAACTCTTGTTTTTGCTGATCATTGCAGCTGGGAGGAATCTTTTTGCTGATATGCATAGGATTTTTTACTGAACTGACACTGCCGTTGATATAGAAAGCTTCAATACAAAACCAGGACACAGTGACCTGAAATGAGGATCACTTCATTGTCTCACCAAAAATACATATTCTGGTAAGGCCTATCACATGTTGGCCATGTACCAAAGGAGCTAATGAAAGCTAATGTGCAGTTAGCAAAGTACTAACACCACATTACAGGGTGGCCCTCCTTTAAAGAGAAGGGAAAGAGAACCATCAGCCAAGATCCCCTCTCTCCCACTGAGCAGGACGGCAGCTGACCTGTCATTTGTTCAACTTGGGGTGAACCTGCAAGCGGGTTAATGACCGAGGCAAAATACCAAACTGCTAAAAGCTTACTATGTTTTGCTATACTCTTATACAATACCTGCTCATTAGCAAAGATTTCTAGTATTCTTGCCTCTGTCTTCCACAGTTGTCTTGACTACATAAAAAAGCTCTTGTTGTAATACAGCTTTACATACATACTTTCACTATTCACATATACCAGCTGTAAAACTCCTATTGCTGAACACAATGATCAGCCCTTCGGGCAAGAGTCAAGATTGCCCTATACAGACAAACACCATTAAAGTCTTCAGGGAGTTAAGCACCAACAGAGCAAAGGTTGTAAGTAAGTCCCAGAAATGCCTATTCCTTGCAAAGTATATATTTAGGCACCTCACAGTCTGAACATTGAAATGGGAAAGGCTTAGAGTGGTCTAGTATGTGTTTTTCTTGTTTCTGGTGAGAGAAGAGTCATCTCCCTGCCATACATACAGTTAGCAGACAGGAAGCCCTTGCAACAAAAGCAATTCCCAATGTAAAGATCCAATCTGTTCAACCAAGTCTTTTGTGCTTGCATATGCAAGCACACCATCTTTAGTGCTACAAAAAACAAAATAAAGCTTTGCTCAAATAGAATTGGTTGTTACAACCATTGTTTTAAAAGCACAAGGTGTGTTTACCATGTAAAAAGGTATGAAAGAGAAGTTACTATGCCAATTATTCACTCCTTAGTGTATCAGTGATGGCAGTAAGTCCTGACTATACACACCTGTGACACAGCTGCACAAGAGATGGGTAGCAAATACACATACTATCCACATGTTCAGACAAATCCTGAGTAAGACTATGAACACTAAATGAGGGAAGACCTATAATCAGCTCACAAACAAGATATTCAGTTACAGTGTCTCAGGAACTTTTCAAAATTTCCTGAAGTACCAATCCTAGACAAATCCACCTCAGTAATACTAACTTAGACTTTAAACCAAGTCCCACTGCAGTTAGGGAACTGCGCTAGCTACAAGTGGAAAATAACATGCCACTATATCCTTTACTCTTCTCATTTATTTTTATATTTCCAAGGGAAAAAATAGAAGCCATATCACAACAAGGGACTTTGTGGTAGACAGCCTGGATTTAGACAGAAGTGAGGTTGGGAGTGCACGAAGCAGCTGCAATAAGAGGAACATCTGGTGAAATTTATACAGTAAGCCCCAGGTAAAGACAGAAGGGACAATAACAGAGTTTGTTCAAATAATTTATCTTATTTTTTATGCTGGGGCACACAAGTAGAAACCTCTCAAAAAGAGGAAAGGTAATGCCAGAAAGCACACGCTTACCTACAAATCTATGCCCACGAGTACTCTTTAGCTGTAACTTACAGTCACACCTAATCAGATTGCATTTAAGACATGTCACTTAAAAAACACATAAACAATCAAAATCGCTACCAAATGCCAGTAAACAAAGGCATGCTCGCCTAAGGGTATTGCTAAACCCACTTCAGTTCCTTGCAACAGCTAGTTAACAGAGCAGCGATAATTACATGCACCCGCCACCAAAAAACATCCTGTTACAACCCGACCTGAGCACCAACCCTCACATCCGCCTGCCGCCAAACTAAATAAAACACGTGGCTCGAGAAAACCACCCGCAAGTCGGGATATGAACGACACGACCGGCGGGA